GTAGCTATTCTGTTTGCAGACAATGTAAACTTCAAACCGACAACAATCAAAAGAGATAAAGAAGGTCACTACATGCTAGTCAGGGGAAAACTGCAAGAGGATGAGATAACAATCATAAACATGTATGCACCGAATATCGGAGCTCGAAATTATATAAGACAAATCTTAACAGGCATGAAAACCCATATAATTCATAACACTATTGTAACGGGGGATCTCAACACCCCATTGACACAAAGAGACAGGTCAACTGGACAAAAATTCAGCAAGGAAATAACAGACCTGAACCAAAGCTGTGAACAAATGGACTTAGTAGATGTATGCAGGGTGTTCCACTCCACAACATCACCTTGTGCTCTTCTGGACTCTGGTTGCCTGAAGGCTCTGCCTCTTTCCCTGCACCTCAGTGCTGATTCCCCACCTCTGGGAGCACCTCATGCCACTGCCACTGACTTCACAGAGCAGGCAGGTGACCTACGGCTACATAGTTATCGCAAGTGGGCTCAGTGCTGAGCCCTTCCCTGCCCCTGGCCCTCCCAGAGCAGAAGGGAAGTGCCCTGCTTTGAGTAACATCCGCACCTGCAGAATTACACCATCCCCACCCGTGCTCACCTTTTAGACCCGGGTCCTGCCTGCTGTCATGGAAAAGTGGGGCCAGTGTGTGGGAAGGAAGAGACAACTTCAGTGAGAAAGGGTTGGGTTACCTGAGGCCCAATTCAGATGGTGAGCTCTTTCATGAGTTCTGTAATTGCCTTCAGAATAGTGTTGGAAAACCAATATTAAAAACTGAGAAACTCACTTTTGCATAGGTGTCTCGGCACTACCGTGCCTGGTGTCTCCCTCCAGTGGTCCCAGAAAGGGGTGCTGTTCCTCAGAGCTCATAGCCGCTATGAGGGGGAATAGGGTGGAAGAAAAGGTACTTCCACCCACCACTGTTCCCCCAGTAGCAACATCATAAATGACCATAGCCCAGATTCTAGAATCCTTTCTGAGAGGGAGGATAGAAGAGACTCCTCCCATTTTGTGGACCCTGACAGGCACATGTTGCCCCTCTTTTCAGCTTTCTGTCACATCCTTAAATAGTAGCAAGGGAAGACATCAACATGCAGAGTCCATATGTTCATGACTCTGGAGGCCTTAGGATGGCCTTGGACATCCTTGAAGACCAAGGTGGTGATTGTCACTATCTCCAGCCTGGGTTTTGCCTGTGTTCACAGCTTTCAGAGCAGCCTGGTCTTAGAATTGGGAGGTGGCAGTGTCCTGGATGCAATCTGGGGGCCAGGTCCTCCTTGAGCCTTTTCAGTAGCACAGTCAGTGTCTGTGCATTGTCTTCATTCTGGTCATTTTTGCCTGGATATAATGGACCTCTGCTGGGAAGGAAGCAGTGGATTCCAGCCCAGGAGTTGTTTTCCCCTTATGGAAGGGAATTGAATGCAGGGGGATGGGGAACACAGGGTGGATGGTGTGCTGGGAAGATGGAAGGCAAAGTCCGTATGGGGTACTTGGGCAGTCAGGTTGGAGGCCACAGGATCCTGAGGTTCTTGGCCTGGTGGGTGGAGCACTGGGTATCTGAGCAGGACTATGGCAGAGGATGGGTACAGTGAGGAGTGCTTGGGTTTGGGGGAACATGTTGAGCAGGTAGCCAGTCTTGAGAGCAGAAGGAGAATCTCCTGGAGACAGGAGAGCAGCTGGGAAAGGAGGAGGGACACCATCCCAAAATTCTTGATGGACAAAAGAGACGTTTCAGGTGGAGAAGGCACCTTTCCCATCCTTTCCAATGTTGTGTTTTGCAACACTTTCAAACACTTTCATCCACACTGGCCAACAGTGGTGTTTCTTTGGTTCCATTTGTATGTCTTAATTGCAGGGGTGTAAATTGATCTGACATTTTAAGTGACTTGGCAATAAATAACAAAACTGAATACCTTAGAAATTATAAATATGCTCATCAGAGGGTCCAGAAATTTATGTCCAAAGGTGGTCACCGAGACACAGTTGGTGGTAACAGAGCTCTCCCAGGTACGAACATGGCAGTGATGTCCCCAAACACAGGATGGTGTTCTGCAGTTGCAGAAATGAGCTCCATAAAGCAGAACCAGGTTGTCTCCCTGGGAGCTGTGGAGCAAGGGAGGCAAGGGGAGGACTGTGCGTATTTTATGACCCACATATAATTGGTCAGAATAATACATTGTAGACAGGTATGTGGGTGAAACTTTTGGGGACTGATCCCCTAGAATCAGTGATCTATGGATACTTCTTGAGTCAAAGTTGTAGTCTGGAGACTCACATTTCATGGCTTTCCAATGGTGTTTGCAGCTTTTTTTAACCTCTTGACATGTTCTATGTCAGGAGAGAAAGTGGAAGGCAGAGGAGGTTGAGATGTGTCTATGGAAATGTGGGTTGGTGGCGAAAGAGGCCCAAAACTACTCCTATGTGGCTAGGAGAGGTCTCATGGGCTGTGCCTGAGGCACAGCACTTTCCAGATTCCTGAGAGCAAGGTGATGACTGCAAGAGCCAAGCCTCCAGCAGGAGGGTGTTGGAGAGCTCAGGCAATGGTCTCACTGCACAGGCCCCTGAGATTTGCCATGCGTTTGGGGGAGCCAGGGGCCTCTTCCCAACATGCCCCGTGAAGCCCCCTCTCTCCTTCTGTGTTCACACCTGGGGATAAGTTAGTAATAATCTGCTCTCCGTTGTTCCACAGGCGGCCCCCCAGCTCTGACAGGACCATGCTGCAGAGGTGGCAGGTATGGAGGGATATCTAGGAAAACCCTGTGGGGATGGAGACTAAAAAAGAGAGCGCAGGCCCCAGGGACTGGGAGAAGGAAGTATGCAGATTCACTCAGAGGCACCTTGTATTTTGGGGTGCTAAATGTCCCAACTCTTCCCTGACAAGGGCTCAGTGACACCAGGTGACTCTTGAGCATTAGGATCAGATCTAGGGAGTGCATATCACTGTGAGTGCCTCTGTGGGTGCACACTTTTCCCCAGGACTTGCACATGGACACGCACTAGTGGGCAGATGGGGCGTCACTTCTTATTCATGGAAAGTTACACATGGCTGATACCAGGTTGTTTCCCCATGAGGAAGGGACCCCAAGGGAGCCAATCCTGAGATCAACAGGTGAAGGACGTAACAATGGGTTGTAGACATCCCAGACACCTCCCAGGAACAAGCTGAGGTGGGAGAGACCCTGACCACACAGGTCTCATAGAGAGGGCCCTCCTGAATGACTATGGTGACTTTCTCCCTGACATAGGGCCTCTCCTTTAGTGATGCTTACCTGATGGTGGAGAGCTCCAAGAGTCATCCTAGAGGCAGGGGAGGGAGTGAGGTCACCCTTGAGGTCCTGAGGGGACAGGTCAGCCTACTGTTGGCAAGGCTTCCTTCTCTGTTCACCATGTTCCCCTGTTTAGGCCATGAAGGCCCAGCAGTGAGCTCTGCCACCCACAGCACCTATACTGTTGTTTTCATCCCTTTTGGGTGTGGATCACTGAGCTCTGACTCTCTCCCTGGTCCCTGAGGGCTGCCTGCTATAGGGCTGGCCCTGTGCCAGATGTGGATAAGACAGGACCATGTGTGGGCAGCCACCCCCAGCAGGCTTATGACCACTGTAGCCTCGGAAGATGTCTGACATGTCTGGTTTTTCCCCTTTGTCTCTCCTGGTAGAAAAGGGACATCAGCAATTTCGAGTACCTAATGCACTTGAACACCTTGGCCGGGAGGACCCACAATGACTACATGCAGTACCCAGTGTTCCCCTGGGTGCTGGCTGACTACACCTCTGAGGTAAGCCTTCTCGAGGTGTTCTGGCTTCCCCAGATCCCAGAGCACACTCAGTCAGCACACCCAGCCTCTGCCCTGCCCACACACACCATGGCAGCCTTCGGAGTTCAGCCCAGCTCCTTCTGTGGTATAAGCACCCGAATAGCACAGGGGCGACCTCTGACAGTCATACATGAGACAGGCTGAGACTCTGCGTGGGTCAGTGCATGCAGAGATGGGAGAAGAGACAGAGAGAGATTACAGTGAGGAAGAGAGACAGAAAGAAAGAGAGACACAGAGAGAGGAAAGACAGAGAAGAGAGAGAAGAGATAGAGACACAGAGAGACAGACAGAAAAAGAGAACAGAGGAGAGACACAAAAGAGGAAGAGACAGAGAAGAAAGACAGAGACACAGAGAAAGACAGAGAGAAGAGAGGATAGATAGAGAGTAAAAATAAACAGGTACAGAAAGAGAAAGACAGGATAGAGACAGAAAAAGAGACAAAGGAGAGAGAGGGGAGAGAGACCCTCTCCTCCAAAGCATGACTTCAGTGGCTGAGTGGGTGGCCCCTGACATCCCCAGGACTGGGACCAGATTGCCCATCTCTCTCAGCTCCACCTCTGGGGAAACCCCAGGTAGAAGGTGATATGGTATGTGTTTGTTCAGGGTTAATCAGGCCAAGGAGCAGGGTCCCAGCCACTTGGTCTCTGGTCAGCAGAGGCTGGGTTGAGCCAAGCATGAGGGCAGAAGACGACGACTATGGGTCATTGGTGCAGACCAGCCTGGCCCATCCTACCCAGGGACATGTGAGTGGTAGTGCTCAGGGCTTGGGAAAGGAGATTTAGGTTGTGACCTCCCAAGCCCACTTAAAACACAGGAGGCAGCAAAGATTTCCCCCAGCTTTGCGTGGCTTCATGGCCCTGCTGAAGACAGGCCTTTCCAGCAGGAGGCTTGCTAACCCTGGCTTTCACTCAAGCTTTGGTAGGTGGTGGCAATTTTATGAGTCCTTCCTGCTTAACCTATTGCCCATGTTTAAAATTTTGATTACTTACTGGAGTTTTAAAATTGAGAGATTTCTCTTAAAAATCTGGATCTCCAATATCTTGGAAAATCCAGAGATCTGGCACCTGCAAGCCATCCTGAGAGACAAAACCAGTGAGCTGGTGTGGGTGTGTAGCATCTCCCCTGCCCGTGCTGGGGTCTGTTGCTTCCCTGTGCCCTGGTCTGGCTTCTGTAGAGTAAGCGATGGTAGCAGTCCAGCCCCAGGAAATCCACTGTGACTGATGCTGTGAAGAAGGGAGGCTTATAAGGAAGCCATTTCTTCCTACAGAGAAACATGCAAGGGGCCGGGGATATAGCTCAGTAGCACAAGCGCCTGCCTGGCAAGTGTAAGGTCTTGAGTTTGATTTCCGGTACAAAAAAAAAAAAAAAAAAAAAAAAGAAATATGCAAGGCCTGGAAGACTGGGCCCTCCAGTGACATGATGGACATCTCCACTAAAAGAAACTGTGTCCGAGGACAGGTGACCCCAGGCCTTCATGTCTCACTGTGGGCACTGCTGCCTTCGTTGCAGGAAGGGAATGAGGGGGTCTGCAGAAAACCGCAATGTTCCTCTCCCTCTCTCCCAAAACAGATGACTTCCAGCTTCCTATAAAATCAGTTTGATACTAAGCAGGGAAGCTGAACTCCTGGAGTAAATTGCTTCATGCAGGCAGAAGTCAAATGCCTCTCAGACGTTGAGAATTGTTTTGAAAATCTCTTTTTGTAACCAGTGGCTGTGCTCTGCTTAGGGTCAACTTGGAACAGGTTCAGTGTGAACTCAATCTTCCCCTCCTCTCATTTCCCATCTCTCCCCTATTAAGTTTTTGTGGATCACTGGCTCCAGGGCCATAAAACCCCACTGGCCAGCTAATCACCAGAGGGGGGGGGTCAGACCAAATGACAATAAACCAATAAAGGGAACCATAAAACTTAAAGAGCGTGGCTCCTGGGGCACAGAGGGCAGAGGGAGTTAACGCAGCTGCACATGTGCCTTTTAGACACTGAACTTGACCAATCCCAAGACTTTCCGGGATCTTTCCAAGCCTATGGGGGCTCAGACCAAGGAGAGGAAGCTGAAATTCATCCAGAGGTTTAAAGAAGTTGAAAAAATCGAAGGTGCGTATCTCCCAGTTTGGTATTTCTTGTGTAGCATCGTTCATCTTGAATGACTGGAAATGACTTAGCCTATGCATGATTGCATTTGATGGAGAACTTTCCAGTTCTGCACTGAGCTCCTGGGACACACAGAATAACCACCTGGAAGAGCTGTTTCCTTAAAGTACTGACTTTTATAGCTCACCTCTGCATATCTGGTTTAAGTCAGTCTGTGGTGTGGGATCACCCAGGTGATCCCAAGGTCAATCCTGGTTGACATGTAGCATGCTAAAAGCTGCTGACTTGTAGCAAGGAGCAGGCAGAGGCTGTGGAACTGTCTTCAATCCACATGTCCTGCTGCCAGGCACAGGGCTATCTACATTTACATACCCAGCAGAGGACATCGATGCTCAAAATTTAAACACCTTGTTCAGATTACAAAGGACCAAACTGGTGTGGGACTGGCCCTAGAATCCAGTCCCCAGACTTAATCCATCTGCAGCTCCTCTTTGAGGTATTGACACATGCACATGCCCTCTGTATCTTGCTGCCTTTACGTTTCTTCTGCACCTCTACTTCATTCCTAACCTTCAGGGAATGTGTCTTCCAGTGAGTGTGTTTGCTCTCATGGGTGGCCAGTGGCCTTAGCTGTGTCCTTTTGTTGCAGGAGACATGACTGTCCAGTGCCACTACTACACCCACTACTCCTCTGCCATCATCGTCGCCTCCTACCTGGTCCGGATGCCACCCTTCACTCAGGCCTTTTGCTCTCTGCAGGTGAGTTGCCACTGCTCTTCATGAACACACATGTGCGTGTGTATATCTGTATGCATGCACACTCACACATACACACAGCCGTGTCACAGGCCAGGAGTGACTGCTGCTGGTGCTGGCCACTGGGTTCTGGTCCATCCAGCCCAGGTCAGTTACTCTCCATCAGGGATACTCTCTTTCTCCTTTGCCCAGCAGAGTATTACAAGAAAAAAACCAACTCTAAAAAAACAAGCAATAAGAGACATGAGAAAACTCTTAACATAAATAAATGTAGTAGAGAGGAAATCAGGAAGCTTGGAGACCAGAAAGGCAAGCAAAGATTAGAAAAATAAACTCAAGAAGGAACAATGAGAAGAATATGACTCAGCACCAGAATGCATACATCTGCTAAGTACAAGATGAAAGGCTCTAAAGGACGAACATATTTGAAAACCAAAATGAACAATTAACTCAGGGCAAGAACTAACTGACGTGCCCACCCACAAACCAACAAATCATTCTGCCAGATTAGAGTTGCTAGGTTTTGCAAATAAAGCCACAAGATAACTAGTTAAATTTGGATTCCAGATAAACAGAGATTCTCAGATAAACAATGACTTACATGCAAAAATTATCTGTTGTTTATCTGGAATTTCAGTGTAGCTGTTTTGTCCTCCCTGACAACCCTGGGGGAGCTGGAAGTGAGCCAACTACAGCCAAGTGGGTGGTGGTGTCTGAGACGTGGGCTTCTAAGGCCCAGAGTCCCTGCAGGCAGCATTGTGAGGGGCCAGGAAACCTTTCCTCTCTTCTTCTGCAACTTTGTATGGTCACTGTGACTCTGTGTACAAGCAGGGACAGGGACCCCACAGGCACAACCTATGACATGCAGAACCTCAGGCACTCCCAAAGCAGCCAGCCAGCTCTGCCCACTGAGAATGCACGCCACAAGGCCAGCTGTACCCTGCCCACCCTGGCCTTGCAAGGTCCAGAGAGGAAGGCCTCTGGGCAGCAGGTCAGAGACACACCCGAGCCTCTTCACAACGACCTGTGAGCAGCCCCAGAATGGAGTTGGGGCTGAGTTCACCAGCAAGATCACTCTTTACAATCACTTGGAGGAATCTGACCCTGAGAGACTAATGGCCACTCTGGGTCAGCACAAAAGCTAACTCCCAAGCCCTATTCCAGACTGGATAGGCAAGGTCAAGATGCCTTCTCCAATAAGAAGCAAATCCCTCCCGTCTTCCGTTTCTTGGCACAGGCCTCTCTCTCTCCTCAACTCCCTGACAGTGAGCTTCGTCTAGACATTCTATAACCCCCATTCCCTGGAAATTCACTCAAAAATAATAAGTGTGCTTCCCCTGAGTCTTACTCCAGCAACAAGCATTTTAAGTAAGTTTGGTTTGGAGAATGAATGGTCCCAGTGCTCTACCTCGTGCCAGGAATCCCATCCAGATGTTGCTCATTAATCCACGAAAAATGATGATCACTGTTGATGATGATAGTGATGAATTCCATCACTTTCCGTCCAGGGAGTTGAAATGTTTAAACATTCAGGGCACTGAATTTCAGAGTTTCCCCTTGTCCCTTCGGTTAAATGCATCAAAGCCAGAAGCCCCAGCTGTACCTGTTGCTAAGGGTCTTTGCACATCAGGAGCAGGCAGACAAAAATTCAGACAGCCTGGGCCATGAGATTTACATCCCAGGTTGGCCACTGAACAGATAAAAAATCTCAAGTTACTTTACCTCTGGAAATGAATGTTAATTATGCACATCTCACTGGGCTCTTAAGAAATTGTGGGGAAAGCCCCTAGTTCCAGTGATCAATCACTGTGACTTCTCTCCATCCCTCTGCAATCAGCCAGCTCTAGCCTGAGCAGGCCTGTGCTTGTTCAAGCTGGTCTCCTCTGGCGGAAGCTAATTCAAGGCAGTCTGGACTGCATCTAAGATTCCAACATAGCATGTGCCAGACTAAACAGGTGTGCTGTGGCCCCACAAGCACATGTGAGTAATGGCCACTTTAAAGCTCATCACTGGCTTGCACAGTTTGGTTCATAGTAATCAGGCCAATCTCACTTAAGATGGTCTGAAACAGTGAGAGATGGTCAGAGCCAACTAAAGATGCTTTCAGCTGAGCTGAGCCCTCTAGGCCCCTCTGCGGTCTCTGATGTGACCCGGGAAGACTTTGGGCTCCAGCCTGTCTTTGGCAGAGTGGCTCATCTAGGTTGGAGCCATCTGGACCCTCCATGTGGGCCCTGGAATTCATCTCTCCCTCCTGCCTTTGAATGACTTCTCATGGCCAGCATTGGTCCAAGCTCTGTAACCAGCAGAAAAACCAGCCACTTCCTGCTTCTTCCTCAACAAAAGATGAGCTTTGCCTCTTCTTAAGGGAATGGCTACAGGGGCAGGGGGTGGCATGCCCAACTCCCCTTGGGAGCTCTAGGCATCAGCAACCCTGCTCAGGAATGTTCTGGAATCTTCTGGAAGTCAGGCTCTGCTCTCTATCCCCCTCCCTCCTTGGGAGCAGTCCTGTTTCTTTTACTCCTGTGGTGACAAGAAAGGGATCTTCCACAGTCTCAACAGTGGAGCCTTGACTTCCAGCCTGGTTTGGAGTATGAATGTATCTGCTCAGAACCCACCTATAGTTCTTTAGCTCCTCTGGTGATGACTGAGAATGTGGGACCCTTGGACCCAGAATGCTCACTGTGTATACCCTTGATCTAAGCAGGTGGCCCATGCCACCACTGTGACAGACAGGACCTGGATTTGTGCCAGCTATGCACTCTGTCATCCTTGCTCTTCAAAGTGTGAGTTGATATCTGCTAGGCTGGGTCCAGTCCTGGGTCCCCCAGGGTCTTCTGGTTCTCATGAGTCTTGCCACCCGGGGCCCAAGTCTGGAGTGCTAGAAGGTTGTGTCACCAGGCACCACATCCTGCTGGCCCTGCTCTGACACCCACACCTGTCCCAGCAAAAGTGTGGGCATTCTCACATCAGACCCAGCCAGGGTGGGGCCGGAAGGCAGCCAGTGCCTACTGAGGACACAGCAGTGGTGACGGCTGCTGCTGCTGCATTTAATAAGAAACTGAAATAAAGCAGTGGGCTAATTAAGTCTCATCTCTATGAAGTCAGCTGTTACCAGCAATGGGGATGGGCCTTCCTGACCACCTGAGGTGGGCTGGCAAGCTGGTGTTAGACGGATGCTAACTGTGGAAAGAGCCAGGGCCAGCCATGCTTGGCTAACCTGGCTGTCCACCAGGGAGTTCCTGGTGGGCGAGGAGAGGAGTTGGGTGCCCCAGTCGATGCCCACCCTCTGGCACCTGTGCATACTGCTTGTACCTAGCCCTTGACTCCTGTCCCAGGCCTGGGCCACTGGGCTGCAGCCAGGTGTGCCAGCCAGAGCTGGAGGCTCTGGCCGGGCCTTGACAGGATGTGAGTCTGCCAGGACCCTAACTGTAACTCAGGTTTAGGGTCCCTACCATAGTGTAATTATGAGGGTACAGGTTCAGCTGGGGCATTAGAAAAGGCACCTGATAGAATCCACTCATTTTGGGATAAAGTCCTACTTCTAGAACTTTCTAATGGGTAGTACTAGCTAGCTCAGCCTCAGTTTCCTTTGAAGGAGCACCTAACTGGGTGGGGGTAAGGTGCATGGCAGTGCCAATTCCCTCATGTATGGCTTCTGTGCGTGTCTCTTTGGGAGAAACCTCCTCCTTCAAGGAGGGGAGCTGGTGGCCTCCATCAGAGCAGATTCAGTCAGGTGCCTGACGGCTTCCCTAATATACATGGGGCCCCAGCTCTTAGCTTTAAGAGCAGGAGTCAGGTCCTAGCATTTTCCACAGGAACTCCTAGAACAGTGCATCACCTTTCTCCTGCCCTCATAGGTCAGACCTTCCTTCCTTGACAACGGCTATGTCTTGAGATGCCCTTCCCATTTCCCATGCCCACCTTAAGGCCCTCCAGGCTCCTCACCCTCCTACCTCTGTCCCTGTCACTACTGGACCCCTTCCTTCTCTTTTCCTCTCTTCCCCCACCATCTGTCTCCTCTTCCTTTTCTTTCTGAGAGCTGCTGGTTGCCTTTCACACACACATGGAATTTGGGGCCTGAATCAGGATGGCTCCCCCTCCTAGTCTACACAGGGCTACAGCATCTGGTACTACTCTCTATGTGCCTCGGCACTGTGGGAGGTATATGATGTATACGTGTACAATGCTCTCACACATGTACAACACTCCCATGTATGTATACACATGCACACACATGTACATTTATAGGTGCATGCATATATGCTTACACACATGCACACATTCACCCATATGTGTACCCACAGGCTCACACATATATGTACATCTTCACATCCATATACTCACCAGTACATGATACACTCTGTATGAGTCACTTTCTCATCCCTGAGACACAATGCCTGACACCCACCCATTAATGGAGGAGAGGTTTATTTTAGTTCACAGTTTCAGAAGCTTCAGTCCCTGATAGGCCGACTCCAAAGTAGAAATGGCATTGTAGAGGACCCCAGTGGAGGAAAGCTCCTTGCATCATGCTGAAGAGGAAGCAGAGTGTAGGGGGAGCCAGGGAGGGAGATATATATTTCCAGGTCACATTCTTAGGGAGCCAGCCCTAATAGCACACTGAGTTGCTGAATCTACCAATGATTATAGCATCCCATGATTCAACTGCCTTCCAAACACATGAGGATTGGGGCCATTTATGTCTAAACCTTAGCACAATCACATGCATACCCATACATACATACTGTACACACATGCACAGACATGCATGCACACATACATGCATATATAATTGATTTCACATCCACAACAATCACCTAAGGTTTGCAGAGGATGGAGTAGGCAGTTAGAGATGTAGAAACTTAGGTGTTCACCTGCACATAAGTAAGTGGGCCCTCCAGTCCCCGCCCATGCCTGCCTGGTTCCCGTGCCAAGCTTCCTTTCCCAGGGCACACTACCTCTCTGATGAATCAATGCTGGCTTAGGTCAGCTGGCATGTGCACGGGTCCTATAAGTGAGTGTTTGCAGAGGATACTTTAAAATTATTAGCAAGAATATCTAGGGCAGGCACTGGTTGTCAGCCTGCTCATGAAGCCAACCCCATTACCGAGACATGAGTGGGTTACTCTGGGCTAGTCCTAGATGGAAGGAAGGTCCCACTTTCATCACATGTTGTGAAATACCTGTGTGCTCGGGTGTCCTGGAGCACATCTGGTTTCTGAGTTTCCTATGAAGAGAGTTGTATGTTGGGAATTGAATGTTTTTCCCCGACATACTTCTCCTGTCATGGCAGACAGGATTTTGAGAACACAGTGACCAAGCATTTATCCAGGGACCATGGCGCACTTGGACTCTGTGTCCCTGAATGACAGGGGCATCTTTTGATTGTGCTCTAGCTTTTTGATTCTTCTCAGCATATTGCAAACCTGGAGGTAAGGAAAGATGTGTCAGATAGCATTGCTTCTGAATCCCAAACTGCGTTTCTGGTTGCTTTACTTGTAAGTGATGTCTAAAGTAGGCTAAAAGCCAGGCACTCGAATGATGTGCCACAGAACTCTAACTGTGGCCTGGCTCCAGCATCTTCTGGATGGAGTGTTGCATGGGAAATCTGCCAATACAAAGTCAGTCTTGTGTTGACAATCGTGACCTTGCTATTATTTTTAATAGCCCATTTGGATACACTAGAACTCATTTTTCTTTATATTCAATATCTGCAGAATAGAAGCAGAAACAGACCTTGGTTCTGGAATTGTCCTGATCACTTTATTTCCTTCCACCCTCCAGACTTGATTCTGTTGTTTGTTTATTTATTTCTTTTGGCTTTGGTCCTTCTTTATGTAGCACTCTGTAAATTTGAATCATGCATCTGTCTGTGTCTCTCCTCCTTGCCCTTTCTTTCTTCTGTCTTCCTTACTTCCCCTTCCTTCCTTCTTTCCTGAGAATCAAATCCTACCTGGGACTCAGGCCAGCAGCAGCGGAGTTTGTGTCAGCCAGACTTACAATAGGGGGAACAAAGCAACTCCATTTCTTCTTCTAGGGAATTTGGTGTTTTCTTTTGTATTGCAGAAGTGAGAAAACCCATTAATTTTGAAACAAATGTATGCAAATACATTTATTAATATAGGAAATAGGAAAATCAGTTATTGTTTCCTTTATAAATAATACAGGCTTAAGTTTTAAAGATATTACTTTTGCTAAAATGCATTAGACAGCTGTGAAAAAATAACATTTTTCTTTGTGGTAATATCTTTAACCAGATTTGTAGCACTAACAATATTTCCTATGTATATATTATTTTTATTTAATACAGGTAATCTTTTTATTACCAAATCATATTGTTTCTCAGGAGATTACCATCAGTGCTCATAAAAGCTGCAAAGGGAAAAATGGGACACGGCGAAGGCATCAATCTCCCACGATGTAAAGCTCAGGCTGCAGATTAAATACACAGAGCTCTTAATACATTTCAATGAGTGACTCATTAGGTGCAGATTTATTTAGATCCCTCTCATTTTATTTCCATTTCAATTTAAATTTGATGGTGGACCTCATCTCCTAATTCCAACCAAGTGCAAAGTGACCTCGGGGAACAGCCATAGCTTTATGCTGTCCGTGTACTGCGTTGGTTGAGACTCCACACATAACTGAACAGCTTGGTGTCCCTGTCCCTCTGTGGAGATGGGCCATGGGTCCCACTGGGTCCTCCACTGTGGTACAGAAGATTGACCAACCAGGCCATGTGCCCTCAGGATGCCTGGTGCCACCTGCCTCCCTTTTGGAAATACCCGAGTACCCCTTAGTCCATACATAGTAGATCATTTCTCCCCGGTCAAGGGATTTATCTAGGAAACTGGCACACAGCAAAGCATATCCCTTGGAGTGTCATCCTAGGTTTGAACCAGGATCTCTGCTCTGTATTTAGCCTTGAGAAAATCAGTACCCTTGGAGGAACCTCTGTTTTCTGGTCTGCAAGATGGTAATGCCAACCCCTTCCTAACGCACCTGCGGTGAGGATTAGGAGGGGTCACCTCTTTATGCACAAGGCACCTAACAGGACAGGCACGCTGAGACAAGGCTCTTGCTCCTTCTGGGCTGCAGCCTTCTGAAGCTGTGATGGGTAGATCCTGATGGAATGAAAGCTCTGGGCCTCTGAGATGGAAGGGAGAGGAGGGCAGAAGTTTCTGCCCCTTTTTTGTGGCCTCATATCTGTGCTCTGAAGAATGGACCATATCTTTGGTTACCTCTGAGCTTAAGTGGATCCAAGTCTGAGTTTCAGAAACCCTTTCCTCAAGTCCCTCTGCTCTAGCATCTTCCTCTATGGCCTGGCCCAAGGCCCTTTTCTGCTTCCTCCTCACCCCCAAGACCACTGCTGAGTACGGGTGGTCATTTTGACAATTTAGGAGGTGGTGTGACAATTCAGGGGATAGGCCCAGGCACTCAAGGGAGGACTGACCTCAATGTCACCAGGTCCACCCCACTTGCCAGGCTCAGGTGGCATCAGGTCACCTGCAGTCAGGGACCTTGGGCCTAGGTGGCCTTGGGAGGTGCCATGGGGTCAAGTTCTTCCTGTGCCAGCCTCTTGCCCTGAGTGCTGGTGTCTTCCAGCTCCTTCCTCATGTCAAAGCCATGGCTACTCAGCTCTCAGGACACTGCCAACTCCTGTCACCAGGCTTCCAAGATCATCTGTGTTGGGATTCTCCAGTGGACCCCACCGGTCTCCACAGAGCATGGCTGACTACGTCTCTGTGCTGTAGTCTGCTCCTTATTTCCTGTCTGTGACTCTTGACCCTGAGACTCTCCAGAGCTGAGGCTAGGCTGCCGTCACCCTCGATTCCTTGTGTCAAGGCCTTAAATTAAAGTGTACCCAGTGACCTTGGGAACAGCCAGCAGAAGGGCTGTGGTTTTGTCTCTGACCTGAACTTGGGTTTCCATGGTGGAAACATAGGATACCCTGAGTCCCTCACAGAGTCCCTCACAGGCCCAGGTCCTGGAGAGTGGGCAGGTAGGTGTCACATGCATGGATGGATGAGAGTCTAGCATTGCAACCTTGCCAGTGGGGCAGGATGGAGGAAGGATGCCCCAGCACATGGATTATGGAAGCTGAGGATCTGAGGTCCTGCGGTTGATCCTGTTGCCTGTGCCCCACAGGGAGGAAGCTTCGATGTCGCTGACCGGATGTTCCACAGCGTGAGAGGCGCTTGGGAGTCAGCCTCCAGGGAGAACATGAGCGACATCCGTGAGCTGACTCCCGAGTTCTTCTACCTGCCTGAGTTCCTCACCAACTGCAATGCTATGGAGTTTGGTGAGTGGGGCCCAGGGAGGCTGCTGGGGTGAGGCCTGGCACTGGGTCTGGCTCTTCTCACAGCTCCTTGCTCATTAACCTGGTATGGAGAGCAACTGCGAGGGGACTGGGTTGTTCTGGTCCCCTGGAAGGACAGAGAGAGGAGAGGCATGCTGAGGCTGAGTGACCAGAAGGCCAGCACAGGAGAACAGGGGGATTTTATTTTGGTTCTATCTTGAGTAGTACCACAGCCGGTGTGAATACAGCATCTGCCACAGGCCTGGTATTCTTGTGTGTCTTCTCTTGTCATCCTTGGGCCACCCCTCCATGGCAGCCCCATTGTCACCTTTGGTCTTGCAGTGGTAGAACTGAATACCAAGGAAGTTACCCACTTGCTCAAGGTCAGGAGCCAAGGAGGAGGAGAGTAGTCAGCTGGGAGCCAGCCCCTTCTTCCTTCTGTCTAAGGCATCTCCATCAAAAAGCTCTGCTGCCTTCCTTTACAATGGGGAGAACATGCAAAATTACAGCATGAAGGCTATGGGAGACGTGTGCCCAACTACCCCAGGTGTGCTTGCGGTTGGCTGCTGGGTGTCACCGCCACTTGCTGCCTGCCTGTTCAGCACCTGAGGAAAAGTCTTGGGCCTTGTGTAGCAGGAGTGGGGAGTGTGAACTCTGGTGACACAAGGATCATTACATTCTGTGTGACTTGGGGCTCTAGCACTGGGGCTGCCTGGAATCCAGGGGACTTTGTGGAGGACACACAGGCTTCCAAGTCCCTAGGAGCTTAAGGGACCAAGCAGGCAGGCAGACACAGGAGTATTCCAATAGGGGAGGCAGAAGCAAGCTGTGCTCCTGGGAGGAGCTGTGTGATTCCATTTGAAGCCCAGATGGTTCCCGATGACCTGGTGCCCCTTGCTCTTCTGCACCCCCAGGTTGTATGCAGGATGGGACGGTGCTGGGTGATGTTCAGCTCCCTCCCTGGGCAGACGGGGACCCAAGGAAGTTCATCAGCCTGCACAGACAGGTGAGTCCCTCCCTGGTCTGTGTCCAGCCATGGACTTCAGGCTTCAGTATCCCTTCAGGCTCCGTGACTGGGGAGGGATAAGCACTGATGTGTTTATGTCAGCTGGGGTTCTTGGCTGTGTGAGAGGCCTGTCCCAGTTTGTGTTCGTGGCAGGGGCTGTGGGCATCAATGAAGAAAGTTAATTTTAGATTCTCTTGGAGGCCTGAGAGGGCACATCTGTGTCCTGAGTGAGCCTGAGAAGCAGGAATAGGCCGGGGGTCACATCTCAGCAGCAAGGCTTAGAGGCTGGAAGGGAACAGAGAACTTCCCAGGCCTGGAGAGGTTGTGGCCTGTGATGCAGAGAGGCTGATATGGGTGGAGGCCAGAGGACACTGAGGATACTTGCCTAGGATCCCAGGCCCACCTGGGTGATAGGAGGAGGTGAAGAGGTACTTGACATCCTTGGTAATCATGGAAACAGGACCCAAAGCTTCAGTGAGCTGCTACAGCACACTCACAGAAGCAGAGCTTGATGCCTGGAACCCGCTGGCCAGAGGCAGAAGGTGCTCTTCCTCCCTGGAAAGAGCCTGGTGGTTTCTGCCAAAGTGGAAGTTGGCTCTGCCACTCTCCTGCAAGTGCTCTGTGGGTGTTCACCCAAGAGACAGGAAAACACACCCTCTCAAACCTTTGGGCACCAGCGTTCACTTTTACTCAAACCAGTCAGTAACTAAATACAGCCCAAATGTCCATCAAGGAATAATACATCTACATGGTGAAATTCTACTCAGCAATGAAAGGCGTGGGCTTGCTGATAACAGAGTAGTGCAGAAGTCAAAGCATTTATGCTGAGTGAACAAAGCCACACTGAAAGCTACGTACTGCGTGGTTCTATTTGTATGACATTTATAGGTGAAGCTCTAGGGACAAAACCAGTTAGTGGTTACTGTACTTGGCAGCAGAAGACTGGCCAAAAGGAGTACAAGGCACCCTGGAGGTTGATGCAAATGTCCTGTCTCTTGAGCATGAATTGTTCAGAATATGTTAAATGTACATTTTTATAGCATTTTATTGTGTGTAAATTGACCTAAAACATAACCTGGAGCAGGCCTGACCTGTGACTACTAACTCATACCTTTCCTTCAGTGTTTTTCTCAGCAAGGAGGAACTCCTTCCCAGCACACCCTTGCCCTTCCCATACCCCTGTATGGGATGCTTGGACCAGAGAAGCCCTTGACAAGGGCTGCAGCTGCCCTGTCTGCCAGCAGACAGAGCACCACAGTTCAGTACCATTGTCCCCAGAGCTGTGGGTGGAAGCCGAAGCTGGATGAAGACGTGGCTCAGCATAGAAGAGAGCAGATGATTGCCAAGTAGTCAGATGACTGGGACAAACGTCCTGATTAGGTGGAGGTGGAGTCTGAGGAAGTTAACAGCCAGGAAGGCGGAAAATGGCTTTCGCCAGAGCGTTTGATGAGTGCTTTTAAAGATGGAGTAGCTATGGATGCTGACATGGGAGAAAGACTGTCCACAGGAGTGGGTGACTTTAACAGGAGTGGAAGAAAAGTCCTCAGAGAAAGGGAGCCCAAGGGACTGAGTGTCCAGAGATGGCAGTCACAGAGGACACAGGCAGATCTGGAAGAGAAGGGAGGTGTGGAGGGTGACCTTCTTCACTTAGTGAGCAGAATAGCAGAGAGGCAGGTCATGGAGGCGAGGGTCTGGGGAGGGTGGGGCTGGCTCTCAAAAAGCACAGGAAGCAGGCATTTTGTTCTTTTCACAAGAGGCCACAGAAGTGGCCAGAGACAGAGCTGCAGACTTCTGGGTGTGTCTGGCAAGAGGTTGCCATGGGGCTTAACGAAGGGTGTGGAGCCAGGATTCACTGGGAAGAGCAGGAGGGACCGCTCCAGACCAGCCCTGAGGATATGGAAAGGAGTTGGTTGTGAGGAGTTAGGAAAAGGAACTGGCAGAGGTCAGACATCCAGGCTTGTGACTTCCCCTTGGAGATATGGCAATGGCTAGGAACCATGTAGAATGGCCACTTTGCCCACAGACCTCAGAGGTGCTACCCTGGTACAGGTGGCCAGGCTTCTCCATACCCAGGCATGGATCTGTGTGTCCTCCCCAAGGACCACCAAGGAGAGAAAACAATGCCCAGTGGATGCCTTTGGCCCTGGGGATGCAACCCTGGAGGGCTGTGCCCAGCCAAAACAGGTGCCATCTCTTAGTGATGTCCAAACCCTTGGCTATGTTTCCTCTTGCTTATGGGTGGCAACCAATTAGAAATATGTCCAACTTAGGGACCCTAAGCCAGGCTGGCACCACCCATCTAGACTGTGCCCACAAGGGATCCAGTGAGCTTATTAGCTCCTATGCTACCTTCCTTCTGTTTCCTGTAGGATGTCACCTTTAGTTAGGCTGCTACTGGCTTTCCAGGGGGAGCTGTGATTTTGATCTTGGTGAGGTTTAATTCCAACTGAGCAGGTGTGAGCTCTGAGCCAGGCCTGGTGGCTGAGGCTGGAACATCTCCCATCGGGAACAGCAAACCTGCATATATCCAGTGTTCCTTGGGTATGGTTGTACAATGCTCTGTGCCAGCTATGTCCCTGGCTATACAGAGGTGCCCCACAAAGGAAGCTGCAATCCCAGGGACTGAGTGTACCTCAGAGGCAGATTCAGTGCTTCCCCTGTCAGGGGTGATTCAGCAAGACCGCTCCATGTCAATGGTTTCTGGTGACTTGCGTGAATGAGACTTGCTCAGCAGGACTGATATCCTTGGGAATACGAAAGTTCCAACATGAAAGTTGGAAGCTGGGAGGGGGGACTATTCCTGCCAGCAAGAGGGAGTGTTGATGGGAAGGGACAAGGACACAAACCCAGGCCCTTCCTAGCACTGAGCAGGTGCTTGGTTGCATCACCAACAGCATGGATCTCAGCTTTGTTCTCACATTCACCTTGGAAGACAGCCTAATCTCAGATGAAGAAGCTGAGGGCTGGAAATGTTAAGAAACATGCCAATGGTGACCTCAGCTCTAGACCGCTCCAGAGTGTGCTCTGCCACATCTGCGACTTGGTCTCAATCTCCTGATGTTCACTGGCAGAGCTAGGGCTACTGACTGCAGCAGGACCTAGGTCTCTTGCATGTCAGCATCCCCTGCCTGCGTAGACCTTCTGAGTGGCACGGCTGTCATATGAGGTGGATGAGCTGGGGTGCTGCAAGTAGTTAGACCTGACTGGCCAGTGGGTAGATATAGGACTTGGTGGCCCTGCGTGGTTGCCCTTCTGCCAGCTTCTTACTCACCAAGCCCAGAGGCCATCAGTGACCTCGCCTGCCCATCTGACACAGGTGTGCCTCCTGATCCACACAGAGCATGCATAGCCCCCTCAGTGGCCTGGACTTTCACACTCTTTGGGCTTTCATTCCAGGCTCTGGAAAGCGACTTCGTCAGCACCAACCTCCACCACTGGATAGACCTCATTTTTGGGTACAAGCAGCAGGGGCCGGCCGCAGTGGAGGCGGTAAACACCTTCCACCCCTACTTCTATGGAGACAGGGTAGATCTCAGCAGCATCAGTGACCCCCTGATCAAGAGCACCATCCTGGGGTTTGTCAGCAACTTTGGCCAGGTGCCCAAACAGGTAAGGCAGGCCGAGTCCTTGTCTCCTGACTCCTTGTCAGGAGAGCATGTGCAGGATGAGCTTGTGGGAGAAAGGAGAGCAAGGACATTCTGTCCTAGGGGCGGAGAGGTCTGGAGGGGCAGAACAGTCCCAACCATCTTCCTGGGTCTTCAGTGGCAGGGCTTAACCCTCAGTTATCTGCTGGGGGTGATGAAGACGATGATAGCAGTGAAGGCTGTATTCTTCTTCTGTGCCAAATGTGATAGACACTATGCTCAGTCCACCTGACTGGATTCTGTAGCTAAGTATCTGCCCTTCAGGTTATCATTTTTAGTGAGTTAAGACACACCAAGCGCTTGAAAGCGCAGGAAGTATGACTGGCTCATCGATAAATGTTATTGGGGTGATCGCATCTTTAGAACCTCTCATATGCTCTGGGCAGAGGAGGTTTCTTCTGTGGAGCAGGAAACCGACACCCAGAGAGGCTGCATAAGTGGAACTAGCATGGACCACTGGCAGCAGAAGAGGCAGAGCTCTGGTCAGTGGGCCACTTGGGAAGGTGGCTACAAAGCATGTGCCATATTGCCACTGGCCTGGGATGTCTTCCTCCTGGTGGGATTGCAGGGGTCTCACCTGGGCCCTGGGCCCTGCTGGCTCTGGTTCCCATGGGCACAGTCACTCAGTCCTAAGAGGCTGTGCGTGACCCATGCTGCCACACTTACGAGACCTGTGCAAGGGAGCAAGGTGCTTATTTAACCACCAGTTCAGTGGACACCCAAACTGGGGCTCTGTGCATCTCCTCAGTATCCTCTCTGCCTGACCCTGCATGACCTGGGGATCTGCTCGTCTCCTGGTTAGGGGCACAAAAGAAGAGCCAGGTGTGACTGGGATGTCAGGGGTGCATCTAGGGTGAGTTAGCAGGGAGCTTTCAAATAGGTGAGCATCTCAACGAAGAGCATGGTAGCCTCATAGCTTTGTTTCTTGAGTTTAAATACACATAATAATATGAATAAAGCAATAAAACAATTCAAAGTAATAGCCCGCCACCCCGCAAGTCTAGTTTTATGTATATGCAGCCCCATCCATAAGCACAGATGCTTTCCTGTCACTGTGACCAGGGAGTGTACAGTTTTAGATTCTGATGTTACTTAATAATATAGGTCAGTGTCCTTTATCCAAAATGCCCAAGATCCAAATTATGTCTGATTTCAAGCATTTCTTTTTGAAATTTGGAGTCTTTACATAGACTTTACTGGGTCAGCATCCCTAATCCCCAAACCTGAGCTTTAAAATGCTTCCCAAATCTTTCTCAGTATGATGTCACTGCTCAGGATCCTGGGGATTTCAGCGTATTTCACATTACGGATTTTTGGATTAAGAGTGCTCAGCCGTGTGAATGTTCAACCTGATACACAGGTTGAGCACTATTTCCAAGGAGTTGTCAGAGTGAGAGTTTCAGGCTGTCCCATCTGAGGACAGGATCAAAGTGCTTCTGGGCCACACACTGTCCCACCAAAGGGCAGTGATAGTTATAATATTACGGACACCTGAGACCCAGCCTGTGGGCCCATGAGGTGTTTTGTGAGGAAGAAAGTGTTATAAAATGTTTACTACCATTTCTGTCTGAGTCAAACACAGCACAGTTCTGGATGGTTCAATCCCTGACCCTGCCCATGTCCCAGCAGGGACCTGCTCCCACCTTGGTTCCTTCCACAATGTCCCCAACAGCTGTTTCCATGTGGGAGTGCAGGAGCCAGCAGGGAGGGCAGGCTGGACCAAAGCTGGGTGCATACACCCCAGACCAGTGAGAGGGACTGGCCAGGCAGTGCATCCTCACACCTGACATTTGCCCAGATGTGCAGAGAATTTGGCCTTGGGGACAGTTTGATGGGAGAGGTCTGGGGGAAATGAGAACAAGGCCACTGACAGGATCTGCCCGCTCAGGAACGTTTGCATGGATGCAGTTGAAGAGCTTTGTATTGACACCAGGATGGATGAGCCTTGGGCAGCTTGTAAAAGGGAAGAAAACCAGGAGAAATTACTCTAGCACATGTAGGGTGCCTGGGATCCAGGCAGGGCAGGAGCCACTCTGACCCCAGCCTCCAGGGACCAGGGTTGCTCTCTGGCCAGGTGGAGGAGAAGGGGATGGGCAGGTGTAGCTATCCTGAGCCCCAGGCCTGTCATCAGCAGCATCTGAGGTTCAGGCCAGGGCTCCTGCTTGGCTCCAGCACTGCCCAGGGAAACCCAGGGGCAGTGCCTGGCATGGAGCACCTGATGCCCATGTGCTGTGTGTGTCTTTCCAGCTCTTCACCAAGCCCCACCCGGCCAGGAATGCCATGGGGAGACCTCCATCTGGGAGGGACACGGCCACACCTGCCAGCATGCCCAGCCACCCGCAGCCCTTCCTGCACAACCTGCAGTCACTGAAGCCCTTCCAGGTCACTGTCAAAGGTGAGTGCCTAGCCCTGTGCAGTTCCTTTGGAGGTTTCAGGGCACAGACCCAGCCAGATGCTGGGCCCAGCTTCAGATGAATTTGTCTCCAAACAGTGGGTAACCGGGAGGCCTCTGCTCTGGAGATGGCTAGGATCTCTCAATCAGACGTCTGTAAGTCTGCCTGCCTCAGACACATACACTCCGCCCTCTGTGTGCACACACACTTACAAACACTTATTCCAGCAGCTTGGTGCAGTGGTGCATGCCTGTAATCTCAGTACTCAGGAAGGCTGAGGTAGGAGGATTAAAACTTCAAGTCCACCTTGGGCAATTTAAAGACTTAGCAAGATGCTGTCTTAAAATACAAAATTAAAAGGACTGAAGATATAGCTCAGTGAAGGTACTAGGTTTAATCCCCAAGACTATGAAAACAGTCCACATATTACCCTACCCTCCTCTCTTTCTCCCTTTCCTTCTGTGTCTCCCTCTCTCCCCCTCCCTTTCCCTCCCTGTCCCCCTTGTGCACATAGAACCCTCCTTCGTTCCAAAGCCAGAGGGGAAGTCCCAAGTGTTCTGAGGTAAGGTTGCAACCTCTGAACCTTGGTCACTGTTGCTCCTGGCACCACATGGGCCTGTAGCCCATAGCTGAGACCGTGTGCCTTGGCAGAAGGCTGTGGGGAGTCCCAGCCTAACTGCTCTCCAACTGTGGGGAGGTGTTCAAGAAAACCTGGTTCTCGCATCTCACTAGCACAGGCAGGGGCAACACCAGGAAGAAGGAAGACACTGTAAAGGGTGTGTGAGGGGTGCAGTCTCAGCAGTCTCTGTTGGAGGTGCATGCTGATAGCGCCAGGGTAGCACAGGTGGAGTGTTGTGTCCAAGATAAGCAAGTTTACAGCAGACAGCTAAGCAGCAGATCCTAGCTCTGAGCCATCCTTGGGCTAGGCCTAGAGGCTTCTTGATGGATCAGAATTGGGTCACCTGCTTGGGGCCCCTCCCAGGAAGGGCAGGGAGGACAGAATCCCCCTGAGGTTCCTATGGCTTTGTGCTGTCTGCCCCTAGAGACAACCTGGGCTCTTCTTTCCCTGTGTATTAGTCAGCCTTCCCATTGTTGAGACAAAATACCTGATGTCCATAGTTTAAAGGAGAGGTTTAATATGGCTCATGGTTGCAGAGGGTCCAGACTATGGTTGTCCAGGTCCAAGGCAGAAACATCATGGAGGGAGGGTGTGGCAGGGTAAAGCTGCTTACATTACAGTGGCTGGGAAGCAGGGAGCAGGGGTTATAGTCTCAAAGGTCACACCCCATGACTACTTTTTCCAGTCAGGTCCTTTCTCCTAATAACCCATCCAAGCCATGAGCTGGGTGATGGGTTAATCCATGGAAGAGGTTGGCACCCCCACAATCAGTCATCTCTCTGGGGGTCTCAGTGCAGTCAAGTTGACAGTCACCTGCAGCTATACTTATAAGACCTTGGTCAGGGAACAACCTGGCCTTGGTCTGTGGGCCTTGGTTTGTGGCAGTGGCTCCTTCTCTCTGGCTCAGCTGAAGTCAACCTCACTGTTTCCACCATACTCACTGGTGGGTAGATATGTTCCTCTTCTCTTTAGGATCGGAGTCTCCCAAAGGGGCCATCGGTCACATCATCCCCACTGAGAAGAACATCCTGGCGGTAGAGAAGAACAAGGTGCTGCTGCCTCCTGCCTGGAACAGGATTTTCAGCTGGGGGTTTGATGACTTCAGCTGTTGCCTGGGGACCTATGGTTCTGACAAGGTGAACAGTCACAGCCTCCCTCCTGCTGACCTTGGGGGTCTGGAGGTCAGGCTGTGTCCCTGCTTAGGAGACAGGGGCTCCTGGGGTCCCTCAAAGACCCTTCCTGACCAAAACCTCAACCCCAAGTTCCATGGCATGGAGCTTGCAGGCTGGCTGTGCACAGGGCCACCTCCAGAGGGAGTCTAGACAGCCATGTGACTACCTGGAGCTCACCCAGATGCACACTCCATCTCCTTGCAAAGTTGCGAGCTTCTGCTGCCCTGGGCAGTGTATAGACTTAGGCTCATGCTGAGTGTTTAGCTCTCCCAGCACCAGCACTGCAATGCCAGCTCTAGGCTCTCTATCTCTACCTTGTCCTCAGCCACCACACTTCATACCCAATGGATTACTGACCCTCCATGCTTCTACCCCCAGCCTGGCTCTTCCAGCTGAGGCAGTGTGTATATCACCCCCTGGCACCCCCTCCTGAACTCGGACCCCACACCCCAGGTTGAGCCACTGCCCCTGGTGCTCTTCGGATTTTTCACATACTAGGCTCCTGTTGCTTCTTTCTCCCACCAGTGAGGAAGAAGCTGCTCCTCAGGGTGGCCTGGGTTTGTTTCCTGGGCCTGAACACAGGTCCCAAGGCACCCAGACTCACCAGTGTCCCCCTTGCTCTGTCCTGGCTTCCTGGGCTCTGCTGGCCCTGCTCCAGTGCCTGTCCCTTCTGCACAGGTCCTGCTGACCTTCGAGAATCTGGCTGCCTGGGGCCACTGTCTGTGTGCTGTGTGCCCATCACCCACAGTGATCGTCACCTCCGGGGCCAGTGCTGTGGTGTGTGTGTGGGAGCTCAGTGTGGTCAAAGGCCATCCGAGAGGTCTGCGTCTCCGGCAGGTAGGTGGTTCAGCAGAGGGGAACCCTGTAAGTGTGAACACTGAGCAGGTACAGGGCCCTGGGAAGGTCCATGCCCCGGTAGATGCAGTACCTTGAGCAGGTGTGTTCCTCTGGTCAGGTATGGCGCCTGATCACATCCAGCTTCCTGTTCCATGAGGGCCAGACTCCCTTGGGAACAAGGAAGGGAGTGAGGACCAGCATGTGGCCACCGATGGTCACTCTAGGGAGGCCACAGCTCAGTGTGGGTTGCAGCCACTTCCATTTATACGAGGGCTAGCGAAGTCTGGTCTCCTGCACTTGACACTGCTCTGTGAATGCCTGCCAGGGGCCACCCACTGTGCTCTGTGAGGCACTTTCGTAAGCACTGAAACCTCCCCAACAGCCCTGTAAAATCAGTGTCACTATTGTCCCTGCTTTCATGGTGACCCAAGGAAATGAAGAAATGGCCCATGCAAGGTCCCAGGTAGGAAAGCAGGACTGTTTCAGAGGGATGTTGCCCTGGCAGGGACATGGCCCACAGCAGGGCAAGGTGGAACTCTGGGTCCTGTGCCTGGAACCCGCTGTTCTGTTGCGGCTGGATGGAGCTACTCGGGACATCCCAGGGCCTCTATGGGCACTATGAAGCAGGGGCTGTGGTTCTCTTTTAGACAAGGAAACTGAGGCTCAGACCCTTGGGTCTGGTCTTGTCTACTTGTATGTCCTCTGGCCTCTCTGTGTGTGAACTTGCCCCAGAGATCACTAGGGGTACTTCCCATGCAGAGTGCAAGTCATTTTCACATCTGATTTTTAGTTGGAGAGCCCCAAAGTAACAAAAACCACAACAGGTCCTATGACATTCACCCTGTCCGGAGCCCTAAACTGAGCCTGCTTCCTCATGAGGACTGATTCTGAGTTCCTCTAGATGACTTTCAAGTCACTCCCCACCCCCTGGAGCCTGTCTTCGTCCCCTGCTGCCAGGAGGTGAAGGGAATGAGGGATCTCGAGGGAGGATCTGGTCAGCCCCCCAGGGGCAGTGGTGCCTTCTAGGTGACTGTGCCAGCCCATCTCTAAGAAATGCCCCCAGAACAGCCCTTTCACAGTTTATGCTGATCCTGGGGGTTTCCCATGGTAGACAGGGGAGCAGGGTTTTATTCCCGATCTAAGGCAGAGACAGGAAGTGAAGGGCATTGCGGATACCATTATAAGTCACCTGGGGACAGCAGGCAGGTCCAGCCTGACCTTGGTGCTGGCCTTGGGCACAGCAGGTGACCATCCTGCTGCTCCTCTGAGCCACCTCTTAGAAGTAGGATGCACCATAAAAGCCTTGGTATCGACAACATAAGAACACAATTTGTCATCCTCTCCTGGCTCCAAATCAAGAGATACAAGCATTGCGCACCCGTATGTTCACATTTTATAGGCAAAACTAACACTTTATCATTGACCCAGAAAGGCTGATGTGGCCTTGGGAAGCCCCCAAATCACTGGTTGCTCAGTGACCACAGTCTACCCATGACCTATAGGCAGAGAAGCAAGTCATGATTAAGTAGCTTCATAAACAGCCTTAAAAGTGGCTTATCTTTCAAGACATTACAATGTTAAAAAGAAATTTCAAATTCACTTCAAAGGCAGTTCTCTACAATTCCTGTATAAAACTTTTCACTGTTGCATACCACCACCCCCAATATACATATTTATACCTTTCTGATCCTTCTGTAGATATTTTTATTTCATTTTCTCCCAGCCTATCAAATTGTTTTCATATTTCTACAGCCTCTATAATTTACATTTCAATTGTTCCAGATTATTGCATTTTCATAAAATTACATTTCCATTGTTTTGTTATGTCAATGCACCATGGTTTAATAAACCATTCCTTCTAAAACTAGACAATTAAGTTATTTCTAAGTTTTAGCTGTTTTAAACAGTGCTGCAGAATGCACCTTAAATCATTGCTTGCTTCTGATGAATGTTTCCGTACGATAAGTTTTAAGGAGTAGAATTACTGAGCAGTGACATAAAGTTTTCCAAGATGGTTCCACAGCTTTCTGGTGCCACCAACAGTTAATCAAGAGTGCCCATTCCAGGGGCTGGGGATTTAGCTCAGCGGCAAAGCGCCTGCCTGGCAAGGGCAAGGTCGTGAGTTCAGTTCCCGGTAACCTGAAAAAAAAAAAAAAAAAAAAAAAAGAGTGCCCATTCCATCACAGCACACACAGTAGCGGGTTTATTTGTGGAATTTTTGGTTTTATTTTATTTTTGCTACTTTAGTGAGGTAGATGATAATAGAATGAAGTTCCTTTAATTGGCCTGGAAAAACAGAGAAGCCCATTGGTAGCCCATTTCAAATTGCTGCATCTTGCCTTGATTTCCTCTGCCTATCCAGGTGGCAGGTGCTGGGCACCTCCAGGTGCCCTAGTCATCAGCCTTGGGAACCCGGATGGGCAGTTCCCTGCACCTGGCCCTGGAAAGCACAGACTGACTTGGTTCCACTGATGAGCAGCTGTGTCAGCATCAGGCGCTGAGCTGCTCTCTGAATCTCAGCCTTTCACCCGAGTCCCTGTCCCAGTCCCCTTGGGTCAGAGCTTAGTCATCAGACTTAGTCTGTGCTAGGAACTCCTCTGCTCATCTAGGCAGTTTCCATGTTCCTAAGATGCCCACATCCTCTGCCACGGGTCATGTCCAGAAACTGGCCACAGCCATCTGGCTGGTGTCACATTAGGATCCACTAAGGACACACGGGAATCTGTGGCAGGACTGTTAATTGCTGTAACCAGGCAAAGGGACTGCTTTGAAAAATGATGCTCAATCTCATTGACCCAAATGAGTGAGCCATAGTCCCTGCCCTAGAGGTGGAATTCCTCACGATAAGCCTGGCTGGTGCCACTCCATGCCCTCCACCTGGTGCCCAGGAGCTGGCAGGCTTGGTGAGCACAGCAGACCTCAGGCAGGCTTTCCTGGCATCTCTGGGATACCTGGAGTTGAGTGTTTGCTGTTACCAACAGTGGTGGCTCCCAGATATCCCAGACCTGATCTACCCACAGAGCCAGCACTGTCATGCCAGGCCCCTCTGGACCCCACCTGAGGGCCAAGAGAAGGCTGAGTCACCACTGGACATGAATCCCAACCCACTGGACCTGGAAGTCACAAGTTTCTAAGGATAACTTGGTTTCCCCTCCTTCTTCCCGGTTTAGTTCAGGGGCCCCAGGCCTGAGTTTCCCACCACATGATAACCGTGGGCTTTAGCATGCAGGAGTCCCTCAGAGGTCTGTGAAGATGCAGACTGAGACAGGGCCTGAGAATCTGCATTACCCAAGCTCCCGATGCTGTGAGGTAGCAGAACCAGTCCTTGAATGACTATGCTATGCAGGTTACCATCCGTGCAGGAAAGACAGGAGTTAAGGAGGCTACTGGCCTCTGGTTGGAGTGTCACCACGGGACTGCTGAGTCTCCCCAGCTGGGCCTTCCTGCAGCAAACTGGCCGACCCCTGGGCAAGCTAAGGACTGACATGGCTACATACCCATGCACTGGCTCTGGAACCACTGAGTCAATAGTCACACTGAGTCTCTGTTTGCTGGGGCTGGGAGCGCTAACTGGGAGGGTGAGGAGTCACCCAAGGGGCTGGGTGGATGGTCCCTCTCATAACCCTTGGGTCTTTGTCCTGCCGCAGGCTCTGTATGGACACACCCAGGCAGTCACATGCCTGGCAGCATCAGTTACCTTCAGCCTCCTGGTGAGTGGCTCTCAGGACCGCACCTGCATCCTGTGGGACCTGGACTGCCTTGTGCATGTGGCACGCCTGCCTGCCCACCGGGAGGGCATCTCGGCCATTGCTATTAGTGACGTCTCGGTGAGGCTTCGGCTCCTCCATGTCTGTGGGCCATCACAGTGGCATGATAGACAGTACCTCGAGGGAAAGCACAGGGACAGAGGGGGCTGCCATTGGCCTGGGGTGTGCAGAATGTGGACAGACACTCACTGGAGGAGGAATTGGTGCCAACGTGGCTGAAAGTGATGTAGTGGGCAGACTTGACTACAGGGTGAATGTTAGAAGGGTGGACAGAGGATGACTGGATGGGTGGGTAGGTGGGCAGATAGATGGGTAGGGGCCTGGCAGATGGCTGGCTGGCTGGCTGGGTGGGTGGGTAGATGACTGGGTGAGGGGTGGGTGGGTAAACAGTTGAGTTTGTGGGTGTATTTGTAATGGGATAGATGGTTGAGTGAATGGAGGATGGTGAGAAGTGGATGGGTAGATGATGATGGCTGGTAGGTAGGTGAGCAGATATGTTGGGGAAGGAGACCATGAACCCCAGAATGAATGGTGTCCCTAGGCCCCAGAGAAGTCTAGTACCACTGTAAATTGTGATGTACTTCTGGGTACAGGTCTGACAGAGATGTATCAGATGAAGTCCTGGCCTCAGCCAGACGACCCCTAACAAATTGGGAAATGCCACGGTGAAACACAGCTTAAGGAAGGTTGTGCAGCATCCTTTATCCTTTCTGTGGTTTGACAAAACTTAAAGGCATGGCCCCAGCTGGTGACATGGCCACCACTCCAGTGGGTACAGGATGGACAGGACACGGGGAGCAGAGGCTCTGGATGTGAACATTTCAGGAGATGCAAGAGAGAATTTCCCTCCGAGACCGTGTGCTCCCCAGCTTCACACAGGCTTTGAGCCTTTTGCCATCATTTGAACCTCTGTGCCCTGACCTCCATCAGATGGAAGGTCATGGGGGTGGGCTGGCCAGCCAGGTGTAGATTCTGCATCCAGAGCCAGGATTGGTTTGTGATAAGAGTGAAGAATTTGTGTGAATCAGCTGGAAAGTCAGCTGGTGTCTTAGAGGGTCTTGCGGTACACTGGCTGGTACCCCAGGTTGGGAATGCTTGGTTGTACAAACTGGGTGGCTGAGAAAGGGGCAGAGGGACCACTAGTGACTCCAGCTGTCACTGCTGCAGGGCACCATTGTCTCCTGTGCGGGTGCCCACTTGTCCCTGTGGGACGTGAATGGACAGCCCCTGGCCAGCATCACCACAGCCTGGGGCCTGGAAGGATCCATAACATGCTGCTGCATGGTGGAGGGGCCAGCATGGGACCCAAACCACGTCGTTGTCACTGGGAGTCAAGACGGCATGGTGCGGGTAGGTGTCTCTTGGGCAGAGTGAGGACACAGCTTGAGAAGTATGTTCGTCTTCCTTTTGCTCACTTCTTCCAGGGGTTAAACCCTTCAGTTTCCATTTGGGACACTTCCAGTCCCGGTGCCTGCATCAAATGAAGGGAAAAGGAGGCTCCTTCCAGGCAAAAAGTACATAAATAAAATTATATATATGATATTATATGCACATAATAAAATAAAACTGTTAGAAAGGTGTGAATGTTGAACGGTCAAATTCAGATTTTAGCTCAGTGGTGAAAAGGGATATGTATGACACTCATTCATCCCAACTTGCCCATCCATTTATCCATCCACTAATCCATCTGCCCACCTATCCGCAAATCTCTCCATCCATCCAACCACTCATCCATGCATCCACTGTTCTATTTATCTACCTCTCCATCCACCGTCCACCCACCTGCCAGTGTGTCCCTCCAACTATGCACTGAAGCATCATCCACCCACCCACCAATCCAGTACCTGCTGAACCTGGACTCCATGCCACACCTTTCACACAAGCCTCTGCAGATGCAGAGATTCATGAGAAGCAGGCACTTTTCGTCAGGACCCTTATACTCTAGAAGAGGAAGAAGAGAAGCAAACAGGAAACGCAAGTGTGTGGCACCTGTCATGGTTGAGGTAATCAAGAGTGCAGAGGGCTCTGACGGGAGCCATGGAGAGGGAGGAGCTGCCAGGAGCCAGGAATAGGAGGAAGCATTGCAGTTGAGGGTAAGGTGAAGAACAAGCCACAGGAGATGGCACAAGGATGAACAAATGAGTGAAGATAAGGAGGAATGGAGAGCTTGCTTGTGGAACTATCCTTTGAATTTCATGATTTATGAAAGGCAATGTATACTGAATGCATGGCCGTGTAGGCAAACACCTACCACATTCCACAAGCCCTCAGTGAGGCTGCCACACGCAAGCACAGCTGACAGTTAGCCTTGGCCCCCAAGGGTGGGAGGCGTGGAGTCTCGGGGGATGACTCTTCCATTAGGGAATGAAAAAGCGCGGTGGGGCCCAGAGCAGGCATGGGGTCCTTTCTTATAGAGAGGTGCAGGGGAGGCACAGGTCAGTGAGATCTGAGGATAAGGAAAAGCCCGTGCCTGTGATGAGGGTTGCAAAGTGCAGGCTGCTGGGGTGTGGACTGACCTGGGTTGGCCAAGAAGCCCTGTGCAATCAGTCTGAGCCCCCAGTGAGGGCCAGACACAGATGACCTGGAGGCCATGGCGGTGCATTGGAGCTTGCATGGCACTAGCTCAGGAGCATGGTGCTAAGCTGGCTGCAGAGTCTGTGCAGGGCATGTGATGAGGGGAGGGAGGCAGAGGGACTTAGGGACCTCAGGGTGGGTGTGGACCTTTGCAAGCTCCCACTGTCACCTAACCAGACCAGAGCTGGAGCCTAAGAGGGCTTTTGCTGATAAATATTTCACGCATCGCTTCCCTCAGGGACTCCCAGGCATGAAGGAGAGGCGAGCCACTCGACCCTGCAGACACAGTCCTGTCCCCAGCCCATGACATGTTCTCTTTTCTGGACAGATTTGGAAGACTGAGGATGTGAAGATGTCTGTTCCTGGCCAGGCAGCTGCAGAGGAGTCCTGCGTGCAGCCTCCTAGCCCCAGAGGTACCTGCCCTGCCCTGTGCAGCCTTCCTGTCTGCCTGCCCCTGCCCTGTCCCACCAGGGCTGCAGAGTTTAGGGGAGCCATAGTGATCAGGATTGCCACCAGGTTTGGGGACAGTGGGAGAACAGTTTGTTTACTGCAAGTTCCTGATGAAGTGCAAAGCAATATGGAGAAGCCCTGGCCAGTCCTGACCTCAGCCCTGTAGAGATTGTGACCCTGGTACTCCTTGGACATGAAGACAGTGGTGTAGTGGGTATCAGGGGCACCTGAGCTTCAGGAGGGAGCCCTATGCTTCCCTGGGTTGCAGAAGTTGTTCCCTCATGCCCGCCTGCCCCGTGCTGACTCTACTCAGCAGGCTCCACACGGCAAGGTCCAAGGTGGTCTTGGGTGTTACCTGCCTGAGCATCACCAGGAACCATGCTGAACATATGGGTTCCCATCCTGCTACCCAGTCCAGTCCCCTGGAAAAGGCTGGGAGGTGTTAGAATTGACAGAGCATGGGATTCAGGGTGGCCCAAAGTAAGAGAACTATGTGCAAGCAAAATCCCCTCTGGGTGGTGGCAAGTGAGACTCACATGGGAAAACCTGGTCCACCTGCATGGCCACTATCACTGCCTGCACCACAGCTGACCTTTCTGGCTCATTCTCCTTTCTCATGGTCATCCTGGGCAGTCCTATTACAAAAACATACCTTTGAGAGAAAAGAAAACTGAGGCCCAGGGAGGTTCGGGAGCTTTCCCAAAGTGTCTCAGCAAGCATAACATTTTCTCATCGCTGTCACCCTAGCAGTCACAATCACTGCAGAATAGCCTTCCCCAGACTCTGCCACACACTCCTTATCTGACCCCTTCCCTGGAAACACAGAACCAAACTCATTGTCACCCAGCCGCATCACCTCCTCCAGCACAGCTACCTTCTCCCCCAGCTCCGTCTTGACTAGAACCAAGACCTCTTCCTTGGGTCCCTTTATCTAAGGAAACTGTGACTGTGAAACAAGAGTTTAAAGACAGTTCTCTGATCACCCAAGTCTTCCCCTCTGTGTGCTCCACTCCCAGAACTGTGATCACCCCACAAGGACATTTCTTAACTCCTGAGGGCACCCTTGGAAAAGAACAGCTAAAGGCATTAGCTTAGCCCATTATTGGTGGGTGAGTGGGTAGGTAGATAGGTGGAAGAATAGATGAATGGATGAGTGGATGGATAAAGAAAAGTCATGTTGGAGCCATTCCATTGGTTCTTGACAAGCCCATGCATCCTCTGTTCAGCATCAGTATGGTGGTGAGGTTCGGTTCATCGGCCAGGAGTCCAGTGAGTATGCGGGAAATAAGGCTTGAAATCCAGCTCCATCCCAGTACCTTACCTGGCTCTGATCTCCCTCTGTGAAGTGGACACATTTCCTCTACTGCTTGTCTCATAGAATCATGATGACAGGAATGTAATAGGCACAGATCAGAATCTACTCCACAATCCAGTTCATCACTGTCACTTTTTCACACTGCTAAGAATGTCTTCTTGAATGCAGCAGCTGATGACATTAGGGAAATTATAACACTGTTTCAGGTTGACAAGGAGGCCCTGATCCGCACCTTCATCTCCCCTCTGTTCTCACCCAGGTTGACACTGCCCAGGCACACTGTCAGCTGAGGTGTGGCTGTAATTCAGTGAAGGGCCAGGATGAAATGGCATGAGGGCCTGGAATAGGACAAAGGGAATCACATGGGGCCACCGTTTAGAGTCAACAAATCTGTGTGCAGATTTGCAAGAGAACTCGCTGGAGGTCTTTAATAAGGAAGCATGATGTTCTTATAATATTGCTCAAAACTGTTTTGTTGGAAAGGGATCAGGATTGAGCATGACATGTGGATATTTGCACATGTGTCCTCTCGGCTTAAATATTATTGCATCCCTTCAAATGTCTTAAGGGGCCCAAAAGGAGATTTTTGATGATATTGAGGATACTGCATTTATGGGCAGATGTAATCTAATTTCTGCCTGGAATTCATTTATTTGTCATTTGAAGCAAGGACCAACCTGGACAAGTACAGATTATTTCAGATATCACCCCCCAGATTGGGACTCAGTCCTGGACTCAATCTGATACAGAAAAGGCACTCAGAAAAAGCTTGTTGTTTGGACTTGTGGAGGAATTTGCAAATGCCTGTTTCCAATTTAAGGTGGTTTCTCCTCTTGAACCTCCTCCACACTCCCTGGGCACGGCCTGGCTGCACGTGTAGGTGGCCACCCCAGGACAGTTGGGGCTGCAGCAGCTCTCCAGCCCCAGGCTCAAGGAAGCGGCCTCACAAGGCCGTACGCAGCTGCTGTCTTCCCCTCATCTCACCCTTCATGTCAAAGGAATTACTGTCCATCCCCAAATGCAGTCATTAAGATGAGTGAAGTAACAATCATTGAGTTATATTTTTTGAAAAAACGTTCTCAGCATTTAATTATTGGTTGTGGCGTGAGAGGATTTAGATAAGTTGATAATGCCGACTTTATGCAATTTATTTTTACTAGGCAATTATGGGCTGCATTACATCCTGGCAGCAAGGTATTGTGGGGCATCTTATTAAGCATAAAGCCAGTAAACACTGATGAACAATTTTGCTGAACTAGGCACGCAATTTAGAAGGCAATAATACACAAATCCAATTTGGTACACAATGGATCCGCGGCCCGTCAGCACATGTAACTATCACAGCCTGCAAATTAAATTGGGACGGCCCTCTTTGCAACAGCACAGGCCAAGATTAAATATATTTTCCCCCTCAATTTAGCAAGTTGCTGACCACAAATATAAATATGTGTGTATGTGTTTGTGTGGACGCACGTGGGCTCGTGTGTGAAGGCACTCGGGTGTCCTAACTGTTCCTTCGCACACTCCCCACAGGGAACAAGTGGCAGAAGAACCTTGCCCTGTGCATGGAGCTGGATGTCAGCCTTGCTTTGACAGGAAAGCCCAGCAAGGCCAGCCCTCCAGTGACAGCCCTGGCGGTGTCTAGGTAAGCGCAGCCTGCTTCCTCAAGCCTCCAGCAGAGGGCGCTGGACCATCCCGGGAAACCCACCAAGCCCAGTAAGACCATGGCAGTGTGGGCACACGCTGTCAGGGAGGAGGAGGCTCGGGCTGCAGGGATATGGTCCAGGTGCCAGTAGAAAATGGTTCTGTCTATTGTGTTGTTGTCACTGTGTGTGTATTTTCCCTGTACTGGGGATTTACAGGGGCCAGGTACTCAGGGCCTTTACACTGAGCTACATACTCAGCCCTTTTTATTTTGAGACAAGGTCTTAGTAAGTCATTAAATTGCCCAGGCTAAGCTTGAACTTTCTGTCCTTCTGCCTCAGATTCCCAAGAGTGCTGAGATTACAGCTGTGTGCCACCACATCCAGGTTGTTCTTGTGGTTTTTAACTCGTGCTCTGGTTCCCTTGTTTTTGAATAGAGAAATACAAAACACAAAGGTCCATTGTTTTGTAATTTTTTCCCCAAGTTCCATACCTGGTGTGATCCCATCCTGCACTAATAGAACCTGATTTTGAGGCTCTGAACTAATAAGAGCAGCCAGTGGTCAGACAGCAGTCAATGGCACAGTGAGCCGAGGAGGTCTTCCCACAGTGAGCTCGCCATGCACACCTGGAAGTGTAGTCTGGGAGCTGCTGACCTTCTGGGGCTGCTTCCCTTCTTCCTTCTGCCTGGTTGGGCTGGGACGATGCCCCCATGGAGGGAACAGTACAATGCTCTACATGCCCACCTGGGTGGGTGGGTGTCTGGCTGTACAGGGGACAGAGAAGGAAGGTCTCGAGCTATGGGCTTCACTGAAGACCTTGCTATGAGTCCTGCTGGGTTCTGGACAGGTGGTGGTCTGGACACAGCAGAGACAGGCCAGGTATCTCCAGCTCCTCTCCATGCTCTAAGCACCACCACATGCAACTTCCAGCCTTCCCTTGACCTCCTCCAGCTTCTGGGGGCCCTGAGGCCAGGCTGAGCCCTAAGTGCAGTTGCTGGCAGGCTGACTGGATGCTCTGAAACCACCGATGCCTCCAACACTTGCTCTCCTCTCTCCTCCCCAGGAACCAGCCCAAGCTCCTGGTCGGTGATGAGAAGGGGAGAATATTCTGCTGGTCTGCAGACGGGTAGGCTGCAGTAGGGGCTCTGCATGTAGCTTTGTGCGGCACCCAGCAGTGGAAATGCTCAGTGCCTTCAGGGGCCCCCCTCCCCAGGGCACTTGAAGAAGGGGCCTCTGCCAATCAGTGCTCTGGGCCCCAACCATCCTTGTGGCCCACAGGAGGACTATAGGCAGGCTATGAAGACACATTCATGCTGGACACTGACCTGCGGGTGACAAGATGCACTGGAAACGCACATGACTCTGCTACTGCACTGAGAGAAATGGGGTTGATTACTGGAAACTGTCAGTGTGTGTTTGTTTTATTAAAGCAGCTGTTTTCCCAGTGCCAGAACTTGGGTTTGAGATCACCGCTCTTCTCTGGTGTCTGCATCTCCACCGTGGCTGGGCCAGAGAACTTGGGCATCAAGTCAGGAGAGTCACCCAGAACTGATGAGGAAGATGGGGTAGAACCAGTTCTTAGAGCAGAGCACCCCTCCCTGGGTGGGTAGCGCTCTCCTCTGACCCTGGGCTGAGGGTTGCGCCATCTGCCCACTGTCTGTGCATGCTATTAGCCCACAGTCATTTGCAATCCCCCAGTCAGTCTGCGACTGCATCTGAGGCCCATAAATTTAAGAGCAGAGAGCACCACTCCCCAGGAAGGGCAAGAGCATGCCATAAATATCAGGGCTGGGCCTGCTGTCATTTTTCAAAACGATTTGCAGTGCTTACCCAGGGCTGAAAACTCTGCTGGACAAAGGGCTGTCTCTTTTCATTCACTCAACAAACATTTTTGCCTTTCTCTCGCTGTGTGTTGTGGGAAAGGTGGAGATGAGGTTGGATCTTCTTGGAGTTCAGGGGCCACGAAGTCAGAAGGGCCCTCAAGAGATGTCTCATGTCCCAGGAGGGGCTTGGGTGGCATGTCCCAGGGTGACATGCTGGCTGTGTTAGTCTGCCATGGACCAGGGGCTTAGGTGACAGAAGTGTTTTCCCAAGTCCTGGAGGCTGAAGTCCGAGATCCAGGTGCAGTAGCATGTGTTGGCCCTGAACCTCTCTCCTTGGCTTGCAGACCCTTTTTCTCGAGCAGTCCTGATAGGGTGCAGCCTCTGCATATGTCTGCAGACACACCCAGGACAGAGGTCCGTCTCCCAGCTCCCATCTGCAGACCCTGGCTCCATCCAAGCAAGGGAAACCATGATTGCTGGGTGGTGTGGACTCAATGTCCCTGTATGGGGACATCTAGAACAGAAAGTGAGCCGAGGAATAGATGGTGGTCCCTGCTGCCTGTCCAGCTGTTGCATCTCAGGCAGGTGGCTTGGGAGGGGCCTCTGAGCCTTCAACCCATGTTCCACTCACTTGCGCCTGCTCCACTCCAAAAAGGCAGCCATGCTCCACTCTGCCAGTGGAGCCACAATCCAGGAGAACTTCCTAGTCACAGTGACACCAACCCTGACCTGGCTGTGCAGCTATGACAAGCCCCATGCTTGCAGCAGCAGAAGCACTACAGGCCCTGCTCCCAGGATATCCTAGCTCCAGTCATCTCCCACATAACCTGAACATCCCCCAGGAGTCACAGGGACGCTCTGGCAGCAGGGGTGTGGGTGTCACTTTGTGGTTGACCATTCTTTAGTCACAGGACAGCAAAAGCTGAAAGCACAAGCCCTTATCAGGCAGGCACAGGAGTCCTGAGAGGCGGTGTCACCGTGGAGGGTCCCCCAAGGTGCAGACTATGGGTGCATACCCATGGGGACAGGTCTGGCCTCACACTTCCATGAGCAAGGCATTCATGGTCTGGGGAAACTCAGCTTCCCCAAGGTCTGATATCTGAATGTAAGTCTGGCCGCCCTGCTCCCGGGACTGAGTTCAAAAGTGGGAGCTGAGGGGGCACGGCCTCTGAGTGCCACCCCCAAGTTCTAGGTCGCCTAGAGTTGCAGCCTCTGTGGCATGCTGCCCTCACCTTGCACCCATGTACTTCAGGTCCCACGGAGACAGCTCAGTGCTTGGAGGTGATAACACCGTAGCCCTGGGCCCACCACATCCAGAGCAGGTGCTGAGAACCCAGGCCTGGTGCCTTCAGGGAACAAACATGAGACTCAGTTGGTCCACGCTGACATGTAGATAGGCAGGGCATGTTTGAGAGGAGTTAAAGCTTCATGAAAATCCAGACAGAATCTGTTTTGCATTAAATCAAATCTCTCTGAGCCCAAGTCAGATTTGCCTCAGTAAGTTCTTGGGAACAGGTCACATGCCTGATCAGGGTGTGTGTGCATGAGTGTCTCTGAGTGTGTATGGGGGGCATGTGTGCTGGAGTGCACATATCTGTATCTGTGAGTGTGCTTGTGTGTGAGCATGTGTACAGCCTGTATGGGTGTTTGTGAGTGTGCATGTGTGTACATATCTGAGTGCATATGTGTGTGTGCGGGCACATGTGCATTCTCTATGTGTATCTGTGCATGTGCATGGTGTGGGCATGTGTATGTATCTGTGAGTGTGCACATATGTCTCTGGGTGCATGCATGTGTATGCATGTCTGAGTGCATGTGTCTGTGGATGTGCATGTGTGTCTATGTGCATGTGTGTGTACGAGTGTGCATGTGTGTGGGCCTGCACTGTGTGCGCACGTGTGCACATCTGCGTCCGTGTGCTGAAGCGTGTTGTCTGAGCACATTCTCGTCCTCAGACAGCGATGGCCCCTCCTCTCCACATCACACCTTTCCAGGTTCCCAGAGGCTCAGGCCTGGGCTGAGGTCTCCGTGTGACCCTGCCTGAGACCTTCCCCTGTCACTTCCCAGAAAGCCACCATGAGCGGAGAGGGCCGAGCCATGCACCTAAGCCAAACTGAGCTTCCTGCAGCTTTATGGCCTGGGTTTTGGCAGATGCTCAGTGACACCAGTGTGTGGAGGTGGCCTTGGCCATCCCGTGACGCTCTTGGTGCCCCTGGGATGGGCTGGCTGTACACAGCATCTGATCTCCAGGGCAGTGGATGGTGATGGCTGCAGCTGTGGGGACAAAGGACCTCCCAGCCTCTGCACAGGTGCTTTGGGGCCCCATGAGCACAGCAGGGTCCTGAACTGGAGGCTTTGGGGCAGATGGAGCTGGTGATCTCTTCTGTATAGGCCGGGTGGTGCCCATCATTACTTGGTCTGCGTACCTTCGAGAGGCTCAGGGACAGCAGAATTTGTCACCTTCTACTGTAGCCTTTGGTGGCTGTCCCAGGAGGCTGTATTATGGGACTAGCCTAGAACTCCTTTGGTTTACGACCCTTGGGCCTGTGCTTTGTGAGAGACTCAGGGGTCAGGGATGGTACACAAGCCTCCATCCTGCCAATGGGGCAGGCAGGGCACCTCTTCGAGTCTCAGCATTTGCAGGCCAACCTGCACCCCACACCTTCATCTGAAATTACCCTAGTGATTTACTGAGCACTTCCCTGCCTAGGTGTCAGGATGCAAGGATGGGCAGGAAGCTTCTGCCCTTGGGACTTCACACTCTAGAGGCAGATGGCAAAAGTGAGAGGATCCTGGTGCAGGGTCTGGCATCCTAGGAGACGGGACACCTGGGGACACATGAGGACTATAGTGAGGGGTGCACTGAGACGTGGTTGTGGAGGAGCAAGAGGAGCCCAGTGAGGCTGGGACTGCCACGCCCGTGCCTCCAGGTGGTGTGGCCAGGGGTCTGGGGTAGTGTCCAGCGAGTCGAAGGGCCCAGACCCAGCAAGTGTCTCTGCCACGCTTGGCTTCAAGTTCTGTCCTCAGCTCTGAGATGTGGCTGCCATGTCCCTCCATGTCCCTCTGTCACCTGTGCCTCAGTGCCCTCATCTGGGCCACCTGAACTGCACACAGCACAGGGAGGGGGACTTTAATGTGCCATCTGCTTCCTCCATAGTCCTGGCACCCAAACCAGTGCCCTGGCTGCTTTCTCGCTGAAGTCCCCATGCCACGCCCTGACCTGCTGCCATCGGGACATGGAGAGGCACTTTAGAAGGCCCTGGGCTGGGCATCATGTGGCCCTGGCTCCAGCAGGAGTTGTCAGGACCTGGATGGGGCTGTGGCCTCTCAGTGGGGTGGAGGTGAAGGGATCTGCCCCTTCCCTAAAGGCAGCCCCTGGGCTGCAGGAGCGGAGGACCCAGACTGGAAGGTCTACACCACCAAAAGCCTCAGCATTGAGGGCTGCCTTGCATTCTGGATGAAATCACTCTTTCCAAATTACCCCCAAAGCATCTGAGGGCCTCAAGGTCAGAGGTAAGGTCCTGTTTATTCAGATCTCTCTCCCGTGCAGGGGGAGCCAGCCCCGTGCAGTGCACCAGAAAGGCAAACTGAATGAATGAATGAATGAATGGTCTTGACAGTGCTATCCAGAATCTGGCCAGAGGCAGGATGGATGATCAGTGTGACAGATCCAAGTCCTAGCTGAGACATGGCTTAGAGCAAGATAGTCGGAGTCACTTCCAGCATGCAGCTCTGTGTGCCAATATGTGGAATGTCCATGATTACATGCAGCCAGTTGGTGGTCACATACAGTGTGTTCAGTGCATGCCTTACCCTGGCCGGTTGTCCAGAGCCCGGGCTGGCACATGTCCCACTAGGGAACATCATTCTAACCTGTAACTTGAAACCAGGAATGGCACTGGCCTCACCCTCCCTCCAGCCATCCTGTCTTCTTGTCTGAGTGTGGCAGGAACACAGGGCCTCAGTGCTGGCCAGGGAGCCAGCAGGGCCACCTTAGCCCCAACAGTGGCTCAGTACGTAAGGGGCCAGCCAGAGAGAGACACATAGTATACACAAGTGACTTACGCCCTTTTAGGGAAGGGGCAAGGAAGTGCTGGGAATGAGAAACACGGCAGGGGACAGAGCATCCTGCACAGGTGACATTTAGGGAAAGAGGGAGCCCTGTGGGGGTTGGGGTGCATTCCAGGTACAGGTGCCAGCCCTAAGCAGGAAGCAGGAAGCAGCTCTCAGAAACAGTTTAAGGTGATAGGGAGCCCACAGGGTGGTGGACAGCAGCAGGGGACACGGTGCTCTAGGGGACATGGGGAGGGTCACTGAGTGCTCATCAGCAGGGCAGCCCCCAGGCTGCAAATAGGGAAGGGCGGAAGGCTGCCTCTGAGCACAGGAAGGCCTGGCGTCTGTGGCCATGCCAGTGACCAGGCCTGCACCTCTCCTGTCCTGGCTCTGTGGGACACTGGCTCACTTGCTGATCACTGCTGTCCTGGGGTCCCCATGCCCCACTCGTGCAAGACCTGCCCCTTGAGCGAGGCGCTGTGCAGCTTGGATCCCGCTGCCAACCTCCCCAGCTGGTTACCAGGCCCAACAGGACCACACAACCTCCTCCCAAGCAATATCCCAGCCGGCCACATGT